TATTCCTGTTGCATCCCACCCCAGCCTATTCTAACTGAAATTCTGACACTGAGGAATTTCTTATTTAAGTGAGACCTTGATGATCCCTTGTGGAGTTACCCTGGGAAGTTAAGTTCATTAATCCACTATTAGCTGCAGGGTTTGGCTGGCAACCACATAGAGCAAGCCTTTTCTATAACCATTAGCAAGGAATAACAGGATAAAGAAGTAATGGTAGTGATAAAAGGAAGAAGCTTCTAACTTTTGAAGCCCAAGTCCTCCGGTCTGATGAACAATGGCCCAGGCACACCGGGAGCCAGGTCAAAGTTAGGACCCAGCCTCTGTTTCCCAACTCCTTCCTCTCTGGGTCCCTGGCATCTCCCCATTTATATTGCCTTTTAAAGACACAATAGAGTACAGTCTCTCTTGCAGGTTGAAAGCCCTCCTTCCAGGCTCTGAGGTTCATAGCCTTGGTATTATCTTTGACTCCTCACTCTGCCTCACCCCTTTTACTTAACCAGTCCCCAATTCTTGTTATTTCTGCCTCCATAAAATCTCTTCTATCCAACCCCTGCTCTCTAATTACATAACTACCACCTTAGTTCAAGTCCTGATTGTTTCTCACCTACTTTATTTTATTTAAATAATATTTTATTTCTTAATAATTACATGTAAAAACAATTTTAACATTCATTTTTTAAATTTTGAATTCCAAATTCTCTCCCTCACTTCCTTCCCTTTCCCTTCCCTGAAAGAACAAACAATTTGATATAGTTTATACATGTACAGTCACACAAAACATATTTCCATATTAGTCATGTTGTTTCCCCTACTTTATTACAAGAATTTGCTAACTGGCCTCCTTGCCTCAAGTCTCTCCCAGTTCAATCCATTTTCCATGTAGCTCCCAAAATGATTTGACTATGTCACTCCCCTACTCAGTCAACTCCAGTGGCTTCCTGGAATTCCCAGTTGCTTCTAAGATCAACTATTAACTCCCTTGTTTAAATTTTAAAAACCCTTCACAAACCAGCCACAGCCTGTCCTTCCAGTGGGTATCATTCTCTTCACACTCTGCATTCTGGCCAAAGTGGTCTTCCCTCTGTTTTCCACACACAGCAATCCATCTTCTTTGCATTGACCATCCCACATGCAATTCCTCTCTTCTTTCAAGATGCAGCTCAAGCCTCACCCTCTTCTCTATGAAACTTTTTCTGATCACTTCAACTGCTAATGTCCTTCCTCTCAAACTACCTTGTATTTATTTTATATTTATTTGCATTTTTTCTCTTTATATAGCTTCTATTTATACTTAATGTCCTTTTTATCTCCCATTAGATAGTGCAAGGGTCTGGGGAATGGGGATTGTTTCTTTCATTGCATTTGTATCCCTAATACTTAACACATAGTAGGACCTTAAAAATGCTGGTTGATTTATTTCATCCTAGCCATTGGAGTTTATCGAGTAAGGGATGATGACTTTGTGTTCCAGATTCAGCTTAGAGTTGCATATCTGATTTTGCTAACTGTATTTACTCCCTGCTCTTTTAGAGCCATGATCTGTGAAACTATACTGGGGCATCATGCACAGTGCCTCATTCAGCTGAGCTAACCAATTGCAGCACGTGACCTTTGAAACAGAAATTCTTGTACTGTGGGAGCTTGTGATTTACAAGAGACTGCACAGATATACATAAAACTATGAGATATGGGTAGCTGTATAAACAGGAAGTGAATGACCACAAATATATGTTCGTATTATATACAGCCATTGGCAAAAGTACATAGTAAAGTTGGATTTTTAGATTCATAAAGACTTTGGGAAATACTGGGCAGGGGACAGATGTGGGATATCACTACTAGCCAGAAAAGGCTTCATGAAGGAGGAAGAGGAGCCTGGTTGACTGGGGGAAAGGGAAGGCATTCCTGGAGTGTAATAGAATGAGAGAAGCCCTTCTGATTTGTTAGTGAAATCAGCAGATATTGAGCACAGGCTTGAAGGGGATGAGGGGACAGGCATCAGAATGATAGAGGAAAAGAGAGATTAGTGCATGGTTACTTTAAAGCAAAGGATTAGGATTGTGGATGTGATACAAAGACAAATAGAATGTCTTCATTGTCATCATCAATTCATCTCCATTAAACATCTGTAATATTCAAGCTATTATAGTTGGCACTAGTCTATGTGCTGTGTTTATTCTTGTGTAATAAGGATTTTGAGAATTGACTGGAAATCTTGAATTTGTACTTCAACTCCAAGGAATGCTAGCCCCTTTGAAATAGAAATTCCAGACAAGCCTTGATACTGTAGCTGTAGCTCGGTACTGTATACTACAGCTCTAGGCTCATTCACACTCAATGGCTGAAGCCCCAGAGCACTACTATTCTTTTAGAGTTCTAGAGAAACCCTAGGGCTGGGTTTCTAATGTTGCTGTTGTTTAGTCATTTTCAGTCATGTCTGACTCTTTGTGACCCCATTTCTTTTCTTGGCAAAGACATTGCAATAGTTTGCCATTTCTTTTTCCATCTCATTTTACAAATGAGAGAACTAAGGCAAACAAAGTTAAGTGATTTGCCCAAGGTCACACAACAAAATATGTCTGAGGCCAGATTAAAACTCATGGAGATAAGTCTTCCTGACTCCAGGGCCAGCACTCTTATCTACTGTGCCACCTAGCTGCCCTTTTTCTAGTACTACCACTTAGAAGCCCCCATCAATGAACTTCTTATTAAAAATCAGGCAGTAAACTTAATTAACTTTTAAAAAAGAGACATTTATTGAAATAATATAGTAAGAACAGTTGGTACAAACATTCCCCCCAAAAGCCTGGACACACTCTTCATGGGAAAAGTGGGCATAAGCTTAAAATGCAATATTAGTGATGCACATATGTGGCAAGGGAACAACTTAGAAATCCTGGCTATTTATGAACTGAAAGTCTTTCTTGAGTCCATAGTTGGTATTCTTCTCTGGTGCAAGGGGCCATGCCCTTAAAGCTGCTTCCCTCTCCAATGTTGCTGCCCTGAGATGCATATATTGTTGCACAGTGATCCAGTCTCTTTGATCCCATTGAATATATTCTGTGCTAATGGTATAGTCTTTCTAATGCTATGGTCAATGATGGGAGAGTAGTGGGGAGAGTGAAAATCTCTCCTCTTCTCAAGAGCGATTCCCTCTAGGGGCTTGGCTTTAACTCAGTTCCTGAACTTACAGCTTTCCATAGGCTAAAAGGAACAACTGTTGGAATTCCTTTAACTGTTCAAGGCCCTCAGAGCCATAGTTAGCTTGTGTGGTTAGCCAACTAGCTGTTCCCTTCTTGACCCAATCAAAGGAATCACAGGACATAAATTATTTTGATTGCACATCTAAAATTTCATCCTGTTTGATTGAATGGATTGATTCAATCCATTGATTGATTGAATTGAAGGGATTGCATTAATTGATGAAAGGGGTATAGGAGAATCACTAACCCCTCCCTCACTCTTGGTATTTTCCCCTTCATATATTTTTAACTTTTCCTGTCTCCCTTTCCTTCTGATTTAAAACCATAAATGCTTATGCTAGCAGAGGTTTTTCTAAGTGGAATGTAACTAGCTCTTGCCACGAATGGAGCAGCTAAAATCACAAATGATTGTTGTCATTGTTTGGGGGTGAAAATAAGGGGAACATAATCGGCACTCCTTTGTCCGTTCCTTTCAATTTTTCTCTCTTCTCTCTCTGAATTTTTTTCATATGTGTGTGTGTGTACATACATATATATAGACACACATATATATGTACATATATGTCTCTTTATATGTATGTGTGCACACGTATATATATACGGAGAGAGAGAGAGAGAGAGATGCTTTATTGGGGTGTAGGGCAATAGACTTCTAGCTCCAGAGATAGATAAGATGAGTAAGCTAAGAATCATAACTGCCTAGGCCTTCTTTCTCTAGACCATAGTTTACTGTTTCAGCTTGAAAAAAGGGAAATCCTAAGTGTAAGCACTTCCAGTCACTTGCTAAATATATTCCTCTATCTGTCACTCTTTCAGTCTCTCCCTCAAAACATTGATGAATTGATGAAAGAAAGAAGAAATAGTGGAATGTCTAGATTCTTTATTATCTTTATTGTATACATGGAAGTGTGAGGATCTTAGAAGTGAACAAAGCTGCTTAGGCTTGATATGAGCTGTCTGTTCTGTTCAGTCATTTTTTCAGTATGTCTTATTCTTTGTGACCCCATTTAGGGTTTTCTTAGCAGAGATACTGGAATGGTTTGCCATTTCCTTCTCCAACTCCTTTTATAGATGAGGAAACTGAGGCAAGTAAGGTTAAGTGACTTGCCCAGAATCATATAACTAGTAAGTGTCTGATGCCAGATTTGAACTCAGAAAGATGGGTCTTCCTGATTCTAAGCCTAGTGCTCTTTCCACTGCACCACCTAACTGCCCTTGTTATGGGCTAGAATTCAATTACTCACATAATTCCTTCTTCCCCTGTTTAGGTTGTGTATGTGTGTCTGTACGTCTGTGTCCAGACCTGTAATTTTATTGGTATGAGGAACTCTTGGGGAGGATGATTCCTCTACCAATGAGGTTTGGCAATTGTTGTCTAATTTATAGTCTTAGAAAATTGCCAGGGACACTGAAAGTTTAAGCGTTTTGTTCAGACAATATGGGTAAAAGGTAGGACTTGAACACAGATCTTGCTGTTCCTGAGACTCACTCCCTATAGACAGCTCTATAGTCAGTATATATCGGAGGCAGGCCCTGAACATAGCTCTTTCCACTTCTGGGGCCCCCTTTCTATCTATCTACTCTTAGCAGTCAGGGTAAAAATATGAAAAGGAAAAGTGAGAGAGTTAGGTGATATAAGTAAATTGAGAACATATATATGCTTACTAACTTATTTTTTTCTAGAATGATTATTGATTTAATCTTACCCAGGATATTCTAGTAGCTTGTGTTGTATCTATGGAAATCTTATGTTTCTCTATTTAAAGAAAAACTTACATTAAATAATTTTCTTTTCAGTCTCCAGAAGGTGCTGAGGGCAAAGATGCAACTAAAGTAACTAAACAAGAGGTGAGTATATCTTTCATATACCATGTTTAATTATTTGACTTGGGGATCCAAAGATTTCAAAGATGGCCCTAGGAAAAGTAGGTTAATGTTAACATACTGGTGTATGGTACATAAAGTAGAGATAAAAGGGCACAAGTGTGTTGGTAAATGTTTAACAATCATCTCTTCAAAAAAAGTGTACCCACAACACATTTTTTAAGTATAATCTGCATTAGTAACATTTTCTCCATCACTTTCTTAAGTCTAGATAATCAATAAAACAATAAATCATGCCCTGATTTTTGTAATGTTTGCCAATTTCCAAGTTGTAAATGCTTACACTGAACATGTAAAAACCAGCTCTCAGTCACCAGCATGAGATGGCTCCAGCATGCTTGCTGTAAGAGGGGCCCTTTGTTGGAGATTTATTTTTATGACTTAATCTCTAGATGCTAACAGTTCAGTGGAGACATCAATAACAATAATAATAATTGTTAGCATGTATGTGGTGCCTACCATATAGCAGGCACTGTGCTAAGCGTTTTGCACAATCTCATTTGATCCTCACAACATCCCTGGGAGGGAGGTGCTGTTACTATCCCCATTTTACAGTTGAGGAAAATGAGGCCAGCAGAGTTTAAGTAAGTTCCTCAAGGTGACACAGCTAGTAAGAGTCAGACGTCAGATTTAAACTCAGATCTTACCAACTTCAGGCCCAACAATCTATATCCACCGTGCTATCCAGCTGCCTATATCCCAAGTGTATATGGTAAGTTTTCTTCTTGTATTTGGTATTTCTGCTTATCCCTCCCTATGACTGTTGAAAGAAAGAGAATATTAGGATTTCCTTCAGTGCAAGAAGAAAAAATAATAGGAAAATTCATCAGGGAGGGAAAAAAGGCCTCTCTTATTTGCTGCAAGAAAGTGGGGGAAATGTGCAATTACTTTTTATAGCCTTTTATATTTGCCCAAAAGCATGCACATCTCAACTGAAAAACCACATAAAGACATAAAATAATGGAAATACTCAATTTATAAATGGAAGAGATTCAATGTTTAGGCCAGCTGAACAGGAAACCTTCTCAAAAAGCTCACCATCAAGATATAAGTCTCTGGGTTGGGAAAAAAAAACATATAGATAGTACAAATCAGTTTGGAATCGAATAATGTTTGAACTTGAACTTGGTTGTGGGGGGCATTTTTAAATTTCCTGTAAAATCAGTAGATAAGACAAGAAGCAGTGAATCAGATTATAATCACGAAAAATATTTCACCTATTGCTAGATACTATAGAATTTTACCAAATATGGAAAGAACAAAGTTCCTGCCCTTGAATATAAAACTTAAATAAAGTCAAAACAAATAGCACCAGGGCTAAAGACATGCACATGTCTTACATAGTCTTAATAGACTCACATAAAAACTTGTACTCATAAATACATATTTTTAATTATTCACATTAGAGTTAAAGAAAAAGAAAGGAGTTAATGATGGCTAGCTCTTTATGAGAGAAAACATGCATGTGAGTTTAGTCAATATAACTGCCTGACCAGTTAAAATACTACAAGTCATTCAAAGAAATCATAGTTCCTCTAAATCACTAATAATTAGAGAATGAAAATTTAAATAACTCCAATATTTATAGCAGCAAATTGGAAACTCGGTGGGGCGGGGGTAGGGAGGTAATAATCAATTGGTGAATGGCTGAGCCAGTGAATGTGATCATACACTGTTGTGCTGTAAGAAATGATGAAGGGTACTTCCCACTTCTTGATAGAGAGATGAACTCAGAGTACAGATTACATGTATTTGTTTTTGGACGTGGACAATGTAGGGAATTTGTTTTGTTTGATCATACATTTTTATAACAGAACTTTTGGGGTTTTGTTTGGTCTTTGCTTCTCAATGGGATAATAGGGAAGGTAGGATGGAGAGAACATAGATCTTCATTTGAAAATAAAATTTTATTTTGAAAATAGAAATGATGAAGAGGATAGTTTCATAAAAACCTGGAAATACAAGTATAAACTGTGACGAAATGACAAGAACCAGAACTATATAACAACAATGTTATAAAAAAAAAAATCAGCTTTGAAAGACTTAGGAACTCTGACCACCACAATTCCAGAGGACTCAAGATGAAATATGCTACCACCTCCTGATGGGAGTCAGAATGTAGGTTGAGATGTAATTTTATACATATAGATATAGATATAGATATAAATATAGATATACAGAGAGAGAGAGAGCGCCAATGCAGGAATTTGTTTTGCTTGACTGTGCATTTTTGTAACAGGGGCTTTGTTTTTCTTGCTTTCATAATGTGTGTGTTGGGGGGAGAAGGTGTTTGTTTGAAAAGCAAATTTTAAAAAAAGTTTAAGGAAATTATAGTATCAAAGATTCAGAAAAGGAAAGGAATTCAAAGCTCATCTAGTTGGGCCTCCTTATTCTTCTAAATGAGAAAACTGAGTCTCAGAGAGGCTAAGTGACTTGGATCACATTTGATTGTTGGAAGGGAGCTCAGTGAACATCTAATCTACTCTATAACCCCCAAATGAATCTCTAATAATAATAGCAACAATAATAATAATAAATATAGTTGTACAGAAATTTTATTCACCTATTCAGTAGCTCACAAAACATTTACTTTTTAAAAATACCAGAATAACCACTTGTCCTTGGGCTCTAAGAACAATGAGGTAACTATAGCTATATATATATATATATATATATGTATGTATATGTATATACATAATCATAATAATTGTAAGCCATAGAATATTAACAAAACACAGACCCCATTGGCCTAAGGCTATTATGGAAAAAAAGTATCAAAAAGAAGAAAAAGAATTAGTGCATATCCATAGCATATGACAGAAGGCAGCTAGGTGGTGCAGTAGCTAGAGTGCTGGGCCTGAAGTGAGGAAGACTCATCTTTGTGAGTTCAAATCTGCCCTCAGATACTTCCTAGCTGTGTGACCCTGGACAAGTCACTTAACCCTGTTTGCCTAAGTTTCCTCATCTGTGAAATGAGATGGAGAAGGAAATGGCAAATCACTCCAATATCTCTGCCAAGAAAACCTCAAATGGGGTTATGAAGAGTCAGACAGGACTGAATACTGAACAACAACAGCATATAACAAAAAAGGTCCGAAACTTGCATATATTTACAGAGATACTGAACAAGCAGATAACACTTCTCTGAACAGTGGTAGTAAAGTCTGACTTTATTAGATTTGTCAAATTGAACTGAAAATCATTTGCCTCCAAGTGGAGCTCATGAAATTGCTAAGATCCAACAGTGGAATCACAGGGACTTCATGTGTGACATCAACATGAACTCTACCAATAATATATTGACAAAGAAGCATTGAACAAACTGTGGAGACTTGGAGATTTGTTGTATAGAAACACAAGGGTTTATGATGGCAATTTGGGATCAGGTCATTGCTATAAGAAATTATAGAAGCATTATCCTGTTATCCTCCTAAGGAATACTAGACTTAATGGATCAATGTTTGTTATTCAAGGAAAAAGTAGGAATTATGCAGCATATCATTGCAGGCTGATGGCTAGAATAATACTAAAGAGTAGACCTTTTATGGACTGACAGATAATAAATTCCATATTCCAGTATAGACTTCAGCATATCCTTGAGAACTCAACTAATAAACCACTGGAGCCAGAATATTATTTAAAAATCTTTTTTAATTGTGTTTTTCATTTTAAAATAAAATTTTATTGCTATATTTATTTCATTTTCATATTACCTTCATTTCTCATTGTATTCCTTTCTCCCCACCCCTCTTAGAGAGGCTTTATGATAAAGATTTTAAAAAGGAAGTTCAGCAAAACTAACCATTACATACAAGAAGTCTGACGTTATATGAAGTATTCCACATCCATAAGCCCCCTTCCCTGTAAAGAAGTCTGGGAGGTGCCTTCTAATGTGTCTTTGGAACAAAGCTTGTTCATAATTATTTCACATTTATCATTCAATTTTGAATGCTTTATTGTTCTTTGACATCATTGTAGATAAGTAGATAGCACATTTATTAAGAACTTACTGAGCACTGTGCTAAACTCTGAGGATATAGATAGAAACAAGAAATGACAGCCCCTACAGTCAAGGAGCTTACGTTCAACTGAGGGAAGACATAAAAGGGAGCTGAAAAATAGGGGAACCTTTCAGAAATAGTGGTCAGGGCAGGCGTCAGTCAGGAGATGACAGCCTCAGGGTAGAGGTATTACTAGGATAGCAAGGCAGCTAGTGAGAAAAAGAAACACTGTCATCATTTATGTGTGTTATTAGCCTCGCTTTGTTCACTTTGCATCAATTCATTTGTCTTTACATGCTTCTTTGATGTATTATGTTCATCATTTCTTATAGCACAGTAATATACTCCATGATGTTCACAAGCTACAGCTTGTTTAGCCATTGCCTGGTCAATAGGCATCTGTTTTGTGCCTTGTTCTTCACTACTACAAAAAAAAAAAGACTGCTATTAATATTTTGGTATATATAAGGATTTTCTTTTTATCCTTGACTTTATGGTATATGCCTTGAAGTGAGAACTCTGAGTGAAAGAGAATAGACATTTCAGTCACTTTCTTAGAAAAATTCCCAGTTGCTTTCCAGAATCAGCTACAGCATTATTACCGCATAGACCTGGCTGTTGCCCACAATCATCCAGATAAAACATTGATCCATAAATTTTTAAGAATGTTTTAAATATATTTCACTATACCAAAAACTCATAATCTCTGAACTATGCAAAAAGAAGGAAATAAAGACAAGGACTATGATTTCTTTGGTATAGGAAACTCCCAGAAGAAAAATTTCTTCTATCAATGCATGTATTCTGCAACTTATATTCTTAGAGAATTGTAAAGAGCACTGAGGTGATAATTGATTTCCCCAGAGGTACACAGAAAATATATATGAGAGCTGGGACTTGAATCCAGGTCTTTGTGGCCCTGAAACTAGTTTTCTGTTTACCAAGCCACTCTGCCTGTCATGA